TCACAGCGGCTGTCTGCGGCGAACACACGGCTGGCCTCGATGCTCCCGCTAACACGCCTCCGAACTTCCGGCATTTTTAGAGGGCTTTCGGATGGGATGGTGCCAAAAGAATACCGCTAAAAGATGTCAATGTTGTGATGGCGTCCTGCCGCAACACAAGTTGGTGTTGTTCAGCTGTAATTGCTGCGCCGTTGTGATTTGTTGAGCTGATCAAGGTACTTCATGGGTGACGCCAGTAAATCTGTCGATGAGCTTTATCGAATTGTGTAGTTGCATGTGTCAAGACGGCTGAGCAGGCATGCCGTGTCTGAGGTTGTTTTCTTGCGTTGAGGTAAATCCATTCTTAAATTATGTGCTAGGATATTGGTTGAGGCTTTCGGGTTTCGGCTGGGGTTATGGATGGGTAAGATAGCGATAGCACTTTCATGTCCTAGCCATACAAGTTCAAAACTGTCGCTCTTTTTCTTTTTCCAGTCATCACCTCCCAGTGTGGCCTCCATTACTCGTCTGAATCCAGTCGCTCCATGGCCCATTCTTTTGTTATGTTGTCTGTTGTTGTTACCCGGTGTGTTGTTTATTCCTGTGGCATGTATCGCAGCCGGGCTACTGGTGCCGTTCGGGATCCCTGTGGCGCGAGGGGGATGTCTACCCCCTCGCCCCCCCCGCCGTGCTGTGCACGTATGGCACGAGGAGACGTTTCTTCCTCCCCACCCCCGTTCAATGCATGTATGGCACGAGGAGATGCTTATCCCTCTCCACCCGCCGTCCAGTGCATGTATGACACGAAAGACGTCCTGCTCGCCCCACCCCGCCGTCCCAGTGCATGTGTGGCGCGAGGAGACGTCTTCCTCGCGCCACCCCGCCGTCCAGTGCACATTGGCGCGAGGAGACGTCTTCCTCGCGCCACCCCGCCGTCCAGTGCACATGTGCGCGAGGAGACGTCTTCCTCGTCCCACCCCGCCGTCCAGTGCATGTGTGGCGCGAGTGGGCGTCTTCCTCGCGTCACCCGCCCCCCCCCGCCGTCCAGTGCATGTTATGACACGAAAAGACGTCCTGCTCGCCCCACCCCGCCGTCCAGTGCACATGTGGCGCGAGGAGACGTCTTCCTCGTCCCACCCCGCGTCCAGTGCATGTGTGGCGCGATGGTGCGTCTTCCTCGCGTCACCCCCCGCCCGCCGTCCAGTGCATGTAAGGCAAGAGAGACACTGTTGCCAGGTGGCTCCCAGCTGTGCGTAGACTCAGGACGAGTGGGCAGGTTCACGGAGTCAGACTTGTAGCACAGAAAACTCTCAAAAAATGCTGCGCCGTTCTTTTCGCTGTCCAGCTTGTCTAATGTCGCTGCTGTTGCTGTTTGTCCTTTGCAGTCGTGTTAAGATGCGTAATTTTTACTAATGGTTTTTACGGCTTGGCGTGCAGCCTGCATTGCTTTCATGGACTGTGTGCTGGATGTTTCAATCGCCGCTATGCCACACACAATTACGAAACTTGTGGATATTCTGGGATGTGCTGTGTGTACGTAGGTATTGTATATCACAAGGTATTGTAATTTTGCAACGTTTTGGCGCATTCCTAGTGTGTTATTACATATGGGAAATGTGTGCCAGATGATCCGCATATGTATTTTTTAACGTGAATGGAATCTAAGCTCTGAGCTACAGACATCTGTGTGCCTTGAGCACCTTGCACTCTGCGAATAAAGCTCGCCCCGTCGCGCCGATCTTTCCGACGTTAGTCGATGAAGCCGCGTTAGACAAGTCGTTTATTAGGCTCCATGTATAAAACATGACTTCCAGCGACACGACCTACGGTGCATGCTCGGCGGCGCCAGCACTGACCGTCGTGCCGACGCTGCGCGCGCGCTGGGCGCCTCCAGCGGCGCGGCCGGCTGCTGAAGCTGCAGCGGGCTCGAGCCAGCACTGGCACGGTGGCGACCGCGACGCCCGAGGCCCGACGGGCTCTGCCGCGCCGCGGCGACCCTCCGCGTGGACGGGCTTGGCGCACTGCCCCGGACCAGTATGACGTCCGCAGCCCACCGGGGACCCAGGCTCGGTATAACGCCAGAGTCACACTGCAGATCCGGGGGTCGGTTTGACGCCAAGAGTCACACTGCAGATCCGGGCTCGGTATGACGCCAGAGTTATACTGCGAATCCGGGCTCGGTGTGACGCCAGAGTCATACTGCGGATCCGGGCTCGGTATGACGTCAAAGTCATACTGCGAATCCGGGCTCGGTATGACGCCGGAGTTATACTGCCGACCCGGGGCTCAGTATGACGCCAGAGTCATACTGCGGACCCGGGCTCGGTATGACGCCAGAGTCACACCGAGGACCCGGGGCTCCGTGTGACGCCAGAGTCACACTGCGGACCCGGGGCTCGGTGTGAACACGCGAGGTCCGGGACACGAGGACACGGGCTCGGTGTGAAGCAGGAGTCACACTGAGGGCCCGGCGCTCGGAATGACACGGGGTCACACTGAGGACCCGGGGCTTGTGTGGCGCCAGAGTCACACTGAGGACCCGGGGCTCGGTGTGACGTTACTGCCAGGCCGGAGACCCGGGGCTGACCAGGATCCCGTCGGGAAGACGACCCTGGACAGATGAATGGGTCAGAAGCTCGTGACAAGGACGCGGCCCAAGCGTCATCGGATGGCCCGCCCCGATGGCAGCGGAACACTGCGCGAGCGGGACATGGCGCCGCTGCCGACCACGCGGGCGGCCGGCTGCTCCGCGCGCGCGCGAGCTGGATGGGTGAATCAACAGCCAACACTCACCGCGTGCACACCAGCCACCGGACGGTCGCCTCTTCGGCTCGTCCACAGCGGCGGACACACAAAACACCGCGCCAAACACGCAAACAAGTCACGATATTCAACAGTCAACAACATGAAAGAAACGCACTCGAAATGGAGTCAATGAGTAGCAAGGCCAGACGTCTCAGAGCGGCCAGGGCCGCCAGGAAACGGGTGGGCTTTGCTGCCGCGTGTCACTGGGGCGACAGGACCTCGCCTAAGCCGGGGCGGCGGCGGCGTCAGTCGAGTGAGGGCAGCCGAGCCGCCAGGCGACGGTTAACGCCACCACGCCGGGACGCTGCCGATGACGCCGCAGCGAGACCGTAGCGCCGCACGCCGACCGCAGACGGAGGAGAGCCACCGGCCGCGCGGCCCGCCGCCGGCCCGCCGCCACACGCCATCACACCTTAGTCTCGCGCAGGTCGACCCCTCAATGTCTATCAGATCGGTCTTTTTGTGCCGCAGCCAGTAGGTCACCATCTTGCCCTTGCCCTGCGAAAAGTGACGCACCATCAGTGACTGCACTCTGAGAGACGACTCTGGCGAGCAGGAACCGTTCGACGATACAGCGCGAGATGCTTCTTCCCGGCGAGCAAATGCAAAGCAAATGCCAGGGCTATTCTTAGCACTTGACATAGCCCATACATACATTTGATACAGCAGCACGGAGTGCAGCGTTAGACCTGTATAGACTGCTGTGCTTGGGCGCCGGGGTAGCCTCGCGCCTTGTTCTTCTACACCATCTCTGTTCTCTATTTCATCGTGTCGCGGGATAGACATCTTTCCGCGGGCGAAATTGTCAGAAAAGGTGTTTGTGGTTCCGTCCCTAGCCGCGTTTTACAAGTACTACAGAGGCGCACACAGCCGGACGGTTACGCGAGTGCCGACTGCTCCATTATCAAAATATGGCAGCCCTCGGGCACCGAGGGAAAACATCAAATAGGGAGTGCCCCAAGGGCGCAGCTGTTTGACGCTCGCTACAAACGCACTAAACGTGACACAAAGCACGCCACGAGAAAAGGCAATACAGACATCCCGGCCCTGACGGCTGGTGCTTCGCTTGCGCGGGGGCCCCAGCGAGGACTGCTGAGGGTACCCGCCCCCTACAAAAACTGCTTAGTAAGCTTCGTTATTGCACAGCGATTCTTTCTCCGCTTTAAACACACTCATGCTCAGTACGGACCGTTCAGGTCACGGGTCAAAGTAATATGGCTTCTGTTCGGAGTAGCGGGCGGTCCTCAGGCGCTCACTGTAAGGCTTGAGTCCCGAACGGCTTACAAACCACGGTGTGCCTCAATATAGTGCGCGGATAACAGATGTGTGCACTATACGTAGCACATACTTCGTAGTGTAGCTTGCTTGCGATATTCCCTCGAGGTACAGCCACCAATATGATTATCATGACATGCTAATAGAAGTGATGTCTGTTGGAGGTTCTGCGGCGAGGTCCCCAACCCTTTATATGAGTAAAAAATTAAAGTCTTATCACTGTTCACTTCTAGTCTAATCAAGTCAGTGAATAAGAGAAAGCGTGTTAGTGGCTGATAGAATAACCGTCGGTATGCCTCAGCAGATACATCCGCCCAGATTTCAGTGGAAGCTCGGGATGTCGTCTCTGCGAGCCTGCCGATAGCCAACGGTCCGCATGTCTGGATGACGAGCCGTCCGCCTGTCCGCGTCAACGGATAACGAGGCGTGAATAACGAGGTGTACGTGTGCGCGTGCGCGCGCGCGTGCGTGCGTGCGTGCGTGCGTACATGTGCCAGTGGGCAATGGAGTGCCCGTCTGTGTTCGTCGTGGATAGCGGAGCTAACGGAGCGCAAGCCTATGTGGGTCAGTGGACAGCAAGACCGGCTCGTGAACAACGGGGCGGCAGCCTGTCTTTGGTGTCGGTGGATTATGAGACACCCACGTGTACTGATGTGCAATAGGTATGTGGTAGGGGCGGATAACGAGTCTACGGCGTCGGTAGCTAACAAGTCGGTGGTGTCGGTGAATAACAAGCCTGTGGTGTCAGTGGATAACGAGCCTGTGGTGTCGGTGGATGATGAGTCTCTGGTGTCAGCGGATGAGTCTCCGTTGCCGGTGGATGACGAGTCTCTGATATCGGTGGATAACGGGGCGCCCGTCTGTGTGCGTCGGCGGTCGGCGGCCCGCCGGCGGTCACTGTACGCCGAGGTCGGCGATCGATGTTTGTACCGGCCGGTGGCGCAGCCAGGCCGCGCTGGCCGACTCTCACAGGCGGTCCCCAACCCCGCGCCCAGCTCTGGCCTGGTGAGGCGGCGGCCCCAACGGCCCGCGCCGCTCACGCCGCAGCAGGACTCCTCCGCCGGTCCGCCGCGCCACTGCGAGGCCGGAGTACTCGCGCAGGAATGGCGACAGCAAAGGATGGGAGAAGCCGGGGTCTTCGAATGAGCGGGCGGGTTTAGGGCTGCTGTTTCACTGGGGAGGTTCCCGTGCGTGCTCTACCCGCACAGGTCCACCCCGGTCGATGCCAGCGCCGCAGCTGAAGTACGCCTCGGCGGCACGACAACACGGCACAGTCGTCTCGTAATTGACAACAGCGTCCGAGCAGGCTGTTGAGCTCCATTTCATCGCACTTCACGCCAAGGCCCCTTGTGAACTCGTCTGACGGCCAGGAATCAGCAACAGGTCGAGGCTTTCGCAGCATGAGTCTGAAGCCCGTTCTTGAGTCCGAGACCCAGTCCTGATTGTGCCCCTGATGCGCTACATGAGTTCGGGTTCATTATCTTCGTGTCTTGTGAGTATGAATTAGTGACACGTTTTCTAAAATTTCAGCCGGCAGCCCGGCCCGTCCCGATCGGTCAGGTAACCATGCCGCTATCTTACCATGGCTGACTCGGCATTAAAGGGGATGTTTCACATTTGAAGATGTCATAGCAGAGCATCAGACGTGATGAAATAAGCTCACTTGTCACAATGGTATACTTTTTAAGCGGAATGGACTGCTCTAGATAGCACAAGTGTCTATTTGTAAACATGCTCATCGCTGGCGTCATGGTTTGATTGTGTCATCACCTTGCACAACATTGACTGAGAGCCAATTGACAGCCGTTATAACTAGAAATCACGCTCACGAACGCCAGATATGAACGCCTCAAAAATTATGTTGTTCTTGGCCTTGATCCACGCATGACTTATGGAATGGCAGGATTTGAATGACTTTACTATGACGCCATGGATGCCAAGGTAACTTTAAAATGCTCCCCCCAACATGTCTTTCCCTTTTTCCGCGGGGCGTATGGCTAAGAAACTAGAGGGGCTTAGGTCTCAAAAAGGACAGGATTATGAACAGCACCGAAAGGTCTTCAAGATGGCTATTTCAATTCATAACCTCATCTAGATGTGGAACGTTCCCTTTAACCAGAAACTAAGCTAAGCGCAACGTTCATTTTGCATTGTTTCTACATTTGAGACCACTGCATGCAATGTGCACGAAAATGTCCTATCAGTGTCATCTATTGCACAACCTTGCTTGCTTAATGCCAGTGAGGCTGCTTAAGGGGCCATGATAAAGCACCTCAACAATGGAACTGCTATGCTAACGAATTGCACACCATTATCACTGTGATGTCAACTCCAACTTTAAATGAGTGGGAAAGAGGATTAATTTTCATAAAATTGTTTCCTTTGCCAAAAGTTGCCAGCAATTTCGCCAACCTATTGAGATGTATATGAGATTGTGTATGAAAGTATTCAACAGTTGCGTATTTATATATATATATATATATATATATATATATATATATATATATATATATAGATATATGTATAACATCCAACTATTCCAGTAAAGTTGCGTCTGTTTGGCGCCCTTTCAGTTAGCCCGCGTGAGGGTAAAAAACGATGCGACGTAATGAAGTGCAAATTTGACACGGCGCACGTACGCACGTGGCGACGTGCCATGGCGAGTTTCGTGCCGGTGGGGTCAACAGGCGGTGCGTGACGCGTGTTGGAAATTGTATTTTTCCCATCAGTTTGGCACGGGTGGAGCGAAAAAAACCGACCGGAGTCGAGGGCCGGCAAGCGGCCGTTTCGAAACCCCGCTCGCACTCTCGGCAATCGCGGATGGGAACGACGGCCCAAATCAACACGCTTCAACAGAAAAATGAACAGGGAATCGCGTGATTGTCAGCATGTGACGCGGCACGCGTCACGTGCCACGTGCACAGCGCGGAAAAGATAGGTTCCCCGTTTGACCGTTTTTTTCGAGTTTTATGCCACATCTACTGCGCAGCTAGAGCTGGTGGGGCGTGACTTCAACTTCAAAACGTCGACCGATGTACGCCTGCAATTCATGTAGGCCAATACGAGACTGTGGCGACGCACCGTTGCGCCAGCAAGCGTTGTCGGAATTCGGGTCGAATAGGCGAGCAAGTGCACAACGCGATGGCGCGGAGAACCATCGTCATGATCAGCGTCGAAATCCACATCACCTCGTGCGCGGATCCATTAGCTGTAATTGTTGCCCATTTTTTAATCATTCTTGTAACACTTATTCCCTGCTCAAACGTTAAGTTTGCCCGAGGGCTGCCATTTCGCTGTTTTGCGACGTCAAAATACCTACCACCGATCGATCGCCCAGTTCCCCGCCGCCAAGTAATTCAAGCAAAAACGTGGAAAGCATACGCGCTGTGATCGAAAATACAGCCGCGGTTTTATTCATCTCAATTCATCCATTAACTGCGGACGGAAGAGTCGAGCCAGGTGACAACGGCATGCATCATTCCGGTGTGTCAGGACCCAGTAACTGGGAAGATGTGCCTGCTGGGCCATAAAAGGTAAGCAAAGGTATTCGGATTCCAATTCAATTTTTATCTGTGTCTCTGCCACAGTGATACTAGAACGCATCGTTCCGGACTTTTGCGTGAAGCAAAATGTAAAAGAAAGAGCACAGATTATGTGAAGAATATTTCCCAAAAGGTGCTACGCGAGAGTTCGAGGAAATGCGGCTATTTGTAGAAGAGAACGTGGAGAACGTCGCAGGACGAACAGAGGAAGGGATTCTGCACCACAGATGGAAGATTCTGCAGAACGAGGAACAGAGCAGGGCCTCTGCCACGGCGTGAGGACGGGCCAGGAAGAAAACCGGTGGAAAGGTCTGTCCCGCAAAAAGGGAGCCGCGAGGGTGATCCGTGTTGCAGATGGAGGACGGTACAGCAGGAGGATCTGGGATAGGGACCGCCCTCAGATGGACGGCGGCGCAGGAAGAGGGACGGAGGAGAAACCGCAACACAGAAAGAGGACGCTTTAGGAGGAAGAGGAGGGAGGGGTCACACGCATCGAGAACCATAGGATAAATATTTTTCGCTCATTTGGAATTGTAAAAAGTCGGCACAACTCAATATAATCATGACAGTCACCCAGCGAAGCCGATGGGCCTCACTTGTGAAAACTGTTTCCAATGTTCCGAAATGTTTCACTCCAAACGCCACTTAAACGGTTATTAGTTTATCGCGAGGCCCCGCCGTAGAACCGTTGATTTATGGTGGATGATGTGGTTTCGGACCAGCGCATCTATCAATGTTCCGCTCACTGATCTCATCGTCTCATCATTCACCAGCAGCGGCCTGCGCGGTGTTGGGGAACGGATTCCCAGCTGGGGAGCTGCGATCGCAGGACCGGAGACGGAGACGGACCGATTCCAAGGAGCCCAACCCGTGGCCCGACCTGTCCCCCCCCCCCCCCGGGGGTCCAGCCAGCCCTCGTAGCCCGGCCAGCCTCCTTAGCTGGGCCAGGCCCCCGTGGCCCGGCCAGCCCCCGCCCCCCCCCCCTCCCCGGGGCCCAGCCAGCTCTCGTAGCCCGGCCAGCCTCCTTAGCTGGGCCAGGCCCCCGTGGCACGGCCAGCCCCCGCACCACGTGACTCGGCCAGCTCCAAGCGGCCCGACCTCGTTCAGGCTGACCCGGGATGCCCATCCACCCGGCTCAGAGCTGATGAGCGCCATTCAGCGGCGGCGTCAGGCATTCCAGTTAGACAGCACGTGCGGCCCAGAAGATCTTGATGGAGCGATTTTGTTACAAATGAGCCACGAGCGGCGCAGCTTTCTCGGAGGTCCCGCCGCCCCAGGAGCCCAACCGGCGGTGGTACGTATCGGAGGTGCACCGCGCCTTCCGCTCCCTCCCCCCGCTCCCGGCAGTTTTCACAGAGGTCCCGCAGTTTTCCAGGAGGTCCCGCAGTTTTCCCAGAGGTCCCGCTACCTCAGGAGCCCGACCGGCGGCGGTACGCATCAGAGGTGCGCCGTGGCTTCCGCTTGCTCCCGCTCCCGACAGACGAGCGCACAGTCAAAGCTGGAGCTGACGCCGGCACGTGATAGGTCAGCGGGCCGAAAGCTACACTCTCCGAGAGCCGGAAGGAGCGCCTTCTGCGCGGGAGCAGCCGTCTGGAGTCACGTCACGTCCCGATGTCCCCCGGGTGTCACGAGAGTGGAGCTTCGGCAAGCCAGCTCGTATCCCAGGGTGGTCACGTCGGGCACTGCCGCAGGGCACTGGCACTGTTACCGGGGCGCTGCGGCTGGCGGTCCGGCTAAGACAGCACGGCAGCACACACATGGACCCAGTACGTAGCGCGCACGCACCACGCGCTGGGCCTGATTCCTGCGCGGATCTTCTCGACTAGGAGCAGTTGTTTGAGATATTTCTGTTGTTGTTTTTGGCATGCCGACGCATGATCCAATAGGTTTTGTTCCCGCGAGGGGAAAGGAAACATTCCCTATATCATGACTAACTTGTAACGTAAGTGAAACCTTATAACAAATCGTAAAACAACTTCAAAGGGCAGGCCCAGAAAACGCAACATGAAGGAAGGAAATGCCCAGGGAATTACAAAGCATCTCCATGCATTATTCGTACTAAATACTCTGACACATCTTTTGAGACAACTGCTTCCATAAACACCTACATGTCACGGTTTAACAGAAGGTTCATGGATTAGACTTCAGGTCGCTTCAAGAGGAAACAAAAGCACGCGCTTCATTACTGACCTTCATCTCCACCTCCCCCCTCAGGTCCAGCTGGAAAGCACCCAGCGTGTCCAATACCTCCTTCGTAGTGGAGCTCACGTGTATCCGCAGCGCTGCAAACGGACCGCCACACAACATTCATTGACATATCACGATTGTTCTGTCGAAAACTGATCGCATCATCAGAGGAGCCCGAAATATATCTGTAGAGGAGTGGAGGGGCACCATATCCAGGAGTCACCTTACGACACCATTGCGACACAACAGCACCTGGAAAATCAGGATCATCATTCGATGCATATCAAATTTTGCAACGGCATAAAGAGCAAAACGTATTGATTACGAATGCACGCAGAGGAAGCGTCCCCGCTCACGCCAGGGTGGCAACATTTCTCAGCCCCCAGACGAGGGGGAGGCTGGTGGAAACTTTCATCGTCACTCACCCGGTATTAAGTTAGGGCCACGAAGCAAATACCAGTTGGTTGCATCAGATCTAAGCGATCTAGCCACTTCACGATTGACCGGTGACCCCTTCCGGTTGAGCAGTGACCTCTAGTTAGTACCCGCGATGCTCAGAAATAATTGTTAACAAAAATGTGCAGCTGTGCAAAGAAAAAGCTCATTAGGAGTACAGCCGATGCAAACTGATGACACAAATATAACTCGGAGCAAAATGCGATGGAGGACCGACCTAAGATAATGCAATATGGCAACGGTCATTGGCTGTTTTTTATATATTATCAAACAAGAACAATATTTCATTTTCAAGCGAGGAAAAACTGATTGCATGCCACCCGCGTTTGTGTCTCTGTTTAGCCCCACACCCTGTAAAGATCCAGCTTTTGTTCTGGAAAGTTCGCTGCACTGTACGAAGACCATCTGTGTTCCCGAGCGTCATTTCCTTGTTTTCATGTTTAGGAGCATGAGCTTGACTTGATGTGGACGACCATTGGTTGCTTTGCAGGGAACGAACAGGCCATTGTTGAACTATTCAATGCCAGGCAATCCACTTGTTTTTCCGTGACTCCAGAGTAATTATACATCACATTGCGGCCCAGAAGTACCTACACGCTCCTGGCCCGCCGCTGGAGTGACAACCATTCGGTCTATGCCGTCTGGCGAAGATTAGGTCAGTCACAACTCTAGTACTACCAACATCATGCAACTTTGTTGCAATCACCGTGCAGTTTCCTTGGGCGTTTTCCAGCAGCATCCTGATTGGCGCAAGTAGCTTGTTCGTAAGGTTACCAACTCGCATACTCTTTAACTGCACTTTTTAATGACATTTTAACCAAAAAGACCAGTGTAACCTCGGTTGCATTGCTTTGCAAAACAAAAATGTTCTGGACAGATGGGGCGTTTTTGTTCAGCAGCCTCGGACGACAGCCGGGTTGGGGTGGGTCTGTACACCAGCGTTTTTGTTCAGCAGCCTCGGACGACAGCCGGGTTGGGGTGAGTCTGTACACCAGCGTTTTTGTTCAGCAGCATCGGACGGCAGTCCGGTTGGGGTGGGTCTGTACATCAGCGTTTTTGTTCAGCAGCCTCGGACGACAGGCCAGGTTGGGGTGGGTCGGTACACCAGCGTTTTTGCTCAGCAGCCTCGGACGGCAAGTCGGGTTGGGGGTGGGTCTGCACACCAGCGTTTTTGTTCAGCAGCCTCGGAGCGCAATCGGGTTGGGGGGGGTCTGTACACCAGCGTTTTTGTTCAGCAGCCTCGGACGGCAGGGGGTTGGGGCGGGTCGTAACACCAGCGTTTTTTGTTCAGCAGCCTCGGACGGCACAATCGGGTTGGGGTGGGTCTGTACACAGCGTTTTTGTTCAGCAGCCTCGGACGACAGCCGGGTTGGGGTGGGTCTGTACACCGGCGTTTTTGTTCAGCAGCCTCGGACGGCAGCCGGGTTGGGGTGGGTCTGTACACCCGCGTTTTTGCTCAGCAGCCTCGGACGGCAGCCGGGTTGGGGTGGGTCTGTACACCAGCGTTGCGCCTCACTCCAGGCGTTGGCTGGGCCGACTTTGGAATCAACCAAATCCTACGGGGCTGACTTGTTGGAAATATTTGTTGTAGTCGGAGTTGTGGGGAAAAAATAATCGGTAACTCGACCCAAATAAAAAGCACAACACATATTGTTGGCATGGTTGTAATGGGTGAGCCAGTTAGGTCTCACTCAAAGATAGTTTGTCCCGTTACCAAGATGCATATTCTGTCTAGGTCTTTATACAATCTGTAGGCACGATTATTCTCCGCAAACTGTTATCACCAGTATCGGGCTTCATCAGAAACTCATTCCGCAGCCCCACCATTCGTCCTTGGGTCGGAGCCAGACCCGGCTAAATTTGTGCTGTATGACTCGGCACAGGAGTTGATATGGATTCCATGCATTGTTAGCGGGAGCCCGGATCGATTTCGCTGAAGCCGAACCGAACACAGGTGTGGTGTATACGCACGCAGGTCCCGTTGGACTTCCATCCGAGAGGAGGTGTTTGACGGTGTCGCCGAAGAGACAGTAGCGGGGCATCTTCAGGCCGACCACGCCGGCCACCACCGGGCCTGCGGCAGACACCAGACGCACGCGTCACCAGCCGGGACCGACCACGCGGCTCTCCCCATCACTCTCCGTCGGGGATAATCTCGTACCATCTCTAGGACGGAGACAGCCGACAAATGCTGTCCCAGAATGCAGATCTGCGCTCACGACTGACTCATCTCATCACCATCGCTGTCGGTGCCGCTGGCTTCGGTGTTGATTCTTGTCGTCCAATTTATTCGGAGCATCGTCGTAAGACTGTTGATGATTGTACTGAATCTAGCTGTTTTTATTCCATCGAGTTGTTGTTTCTTTAAGCGCCTCATTTATTCAGCTTCCATCCATTACAGCCCGCAGAATGTGCCTCTTCAGTTGTGTTGCCCCCCACACTGTATGGATGCGGACAACAAGGCAGATTCCAGACTGCTTTTTCGGGTGATCCGACAGCGACATTTTGTACTTCAGGCTTTTTGCAAGGAGGACCAATGTCGAACTTACTTAAGATATCAGATCTACTTTCGGCACAACAAGCAATGACCCCAGCAAAAAATGCCACGAACACGAGCGACACAGATGCATTAGTTCGGCAGCGAAACACCCCCTGCATCACGAGATTTGATACCGAAAATGAGCAATGTTCAATGTACCAGTACGTACCAGTTAGACAACAAGATCTATTAATAATCACGATATGTTATGAACTACGCGACGTCTCAAGACAGTATTCGTGGCAATGAGTGAACGGGGCAATCAAAATGGAAGCTAAAAAGCACACACACATACGCACCGGTGACTAAAGAGCTAAGGCATGGGTGACGAAGACAAAAAAACGCGGATGAGTAAGACTAAAAAACCAAAGGCGCACGAAGGAAGCGACATGTTAGCTCGTTACGCTCGCAGAACTGCTGATCAGAAAAAAAGCGTGCCACTCCCCGCAACTGTGTTTTCAGTTCCGGTTCCCATTTAGCCACGGTTGTGCCGAACTGCAACGCAACACCACTTATTTTTCGGAGGAGGAAACTCACGTCTTTTGTAGCATGGCTTTGGGTGAAAGAAATACTGGGGTGGTGCTGACAGATGTCCTACCATTCGAAACGCATGAGGTTGCTGTGAGGGATGAGTTTAACACAACCAGCTGCGCTTAAGGCAAATCGGCATACTTAGTCGATGTTCTCTGCGATTAGATTCAGCACCATATATGTATGCACCATACATATGTGGTGCACGGCATACATATGTATGCCGTGTTCATATGTATGCCGTGTTCATATGTATGCCGTGTTCATATGTATGCCGTGTTCAGTTGGCACTCGACTAGGACCGTCGGGACGTCTAGGCCTAGTCGTCTGTGTTCCGAACATACCTCAACACTGCATTGTGCATCTCTTTGACAACTCGGACCATGTTCTGACTTGCGCAACTTTGGCTTTTAAATACTTATGTTTACTGGTGAGCCTCAAGCCTCGCTTACTCGTGACTCTAAGTGCTTCTAAGTGGGGATGAGCGGTGGGTGGAGGTGAGGGGGCGGGGGGGGGGGGGGGGGGTAGTGCCAGTGTCGGACAGAGTGTGACGACCACGCCACCAGGCCTCCATGCAATGATAATCACTTGATTGCCATAAGGCTTCCTTTAACACAAAGCGGATCACCTACCGGCGTGAGGCTTGAGCTTCGTGGCATGCTTAGGTAACTGCTTCCAATGGTACCGACCGGCCGTTTCATCACTCATCCGAGCATGTGAGTCGACATTCCCTGTCAGTCCGAGTTGTCCTCACTCATCCGAGCATGTGAGTCGACATTCCGTGTCAGTCCGAGTTGTCCTCACTCATCCGAGCATGTGAGTCGACATTCCGTGTCAGTCCGAGTTGTCCTCACTCATCCGTGCGTGTTTGTCGACATTCCGTGTCAGTCCCGTGTCGTACACTCCACTCATCCGTGAGTGTTTGTGGACAGTCCGTGTCGTCCTCACTCATCCGAGTCGGCATTCCGTGACATCCGCGTCGTCCTCACTCATCCGTGAGTGTTTGTGGAAAGTCCGCGTCGTCCTCACTCATCCGTGAGTGTTTTGTGGAAAGTCCGCGTCGTCCTCACTCATCCGTGCGTGCTTGTCGACAGTCCGTGCCAGTCCGTGTCGGTCTTCACTAATCCGTTGCGTGTTTGGCGACAGTCCGTGACAGTCCGTGTCGTCCTCACTCATCCGTGCGTGTTTGTCACAATCCGTGACAGTCAGCGTCATCCTTACTCATCCAGTGCGTGTTTGTGGAAAGTCCGCGTCGTCCCACTCATCCGTGCGTGTTGTCGACAGTCCGTGGCCAGTCCGTGTTCGTCCTCAATCATCCCGTGGCTTGTTTGTGGACAGTCCGTGTCGTCCTCACCAAAAGAATCATCCGTGCGGGTGTTGTGGGACAATCTCCGTCGTCCTCACGTCATCTGTTGCGGGTGACTCGACAGTCTGTGTTAGTTTGTGTCGTCCTCACTCACCCGTTGCGTGTTTGTCGACAGCCCGTGTCGCCCCCACTCACCCGTGCCTGTTCGTCGACAGTCCGTGTCCGCCCCCACTCACCCGTGTGCAAGCCGATACGCAGCTTGAGCTGCTGCCCGGGCCGGTGGCGGATCTGGAAGCTCTGAACCGCCTCCAGCAACTTCAGCGACATGCCGGCTATCTCTCCAGCGTGCTTGGCGCCGTTCCGCATCGGCAGGGCCGGAGACCACCTGTATGCGTCGCCGATAGTCTCCACCTACGGAAAACGGGCGCGCAGTGGTGCTGCGTGAAGCCCACACCAGCCCTGCCACCGCATGGATACGGCGCCGTCCTTAATTGAAGTCGACGAGGACAAGGCTGAGATAGATGTCATCTGAAAGGTCACCTCACCGCCAGCTCTCACCGCTGATTAATGCAGAGGCCGGTCATTGACATCAGCAATGGTCAATAAGAGATGATGGACGCAGCCGGCCAGCCGAGCGGCCGGCCGAGGCTGTCATCGATCTGCCATCCCCAGAATCGGCGGCCGGGCAGCGCATAAGCCAGCGCCCATTCCTGACGGCTTCCAGCGAAAGACGCACACGTCGCTGGCGACAAGCGCTGGCCAGGACCAGACCACGGACTTCTGACGGGCGAGTGCTGCTCCGAGCAGCCGCCGATTCTGAGCAGGGAGTCGACCGACCGGCCCGGCCCGCTCCCGCGTCCTCCCCGAACCTCTCTCCCCGCGACACGCGGGGCAGGAGTCGACCGAACACGGCCCGGCCCGCTCCCTACGTCCTCCCTAACCTCTCTCCCCGCGGCACGCGGGACCTCTCTCCCTCTCTACCTCTATCTCTCCTAACCTCTCTCTCACCGCGGCACGCTGTACGGCGGGGCAGCACATTGCTGGGAGGGGGGACGTTGTTTTAGGGGGGGACAGGCATCAGTCGGTTTCGGGTTATCTCCGCGGCGCAGCCCTCAGGCTGCGGATCAGGAGAAGGCGCGCCGGCTGATCTAGTCATAACGGTGGTCAATATTCGGAAGAAAACCGTGGGAACACCAGAATGTCAAAGGACTTCATAAAATTGAGAAGACTGCAACATTGGGCGACGCGGAGGTCACATGGAAAAGGACTCGTGAACTATGGGGGACACTGAGACGGTGTCTAGAGGCTTGGGGTCGATTTGCGTGCGCTGAGAAGTTCAAGGGATCAGTATGCGTAAAACATTTCTCGAGACGATCAGGGGCGGGGCGGGGGGAGGCGGACGAAGCGGTCAGAAGACGCCTTCGACTGCCAAAGGTCGGACCGACTCGGACACGCAACGTGATCACCGGCCAGGAATTCAAGAACCACGAGATGAGACGAAACTCACTGAATGGTACACTGAGGTCCATAAATTACGCTACGCCTTTATGGCAATGTTTCAATCCCGTCTCTATGGTTACGCACTGTTTACGCATTGGGCAACCCCGACCACTCTGGTTACGCTGAGATCAGCGTAACGTCCCGAAAAGGTAGCGTAAATTTGGCCCCTAATTGAACAAGAGGTACAAACAAAAACGAAATGTTTCTTGAAATGAGAGGAGACCAGTGGTGTCCCGATTTACATTTAAGAACATCAAAAAGGACTTCAGGATGACTTGAAACTAAACCTGAGCGTCATATCACTCTGTTCAAGCCTCCCAAGCCCCATCCCCTCTCCTGATTACGCTTTGGTTACGCTCCATCACCATCCCATGTTTGACGTGATATATGGGGGGCCGGCCCCATAGCGACAAACCCCGAGGTCAGCCGAGGCGACTCAGCTAAACACGATGCCCAGCGAGGTCCGACAGCTATATGTGATGACCGGCGAGGTCCCAACAGCTATACTCGATGGCCAGCGAGGTCCCAACAGCTATATGCGATGGTCCGGCGCGGTCCCAACAGCTATACGCGATGGCCGGCGAGGTTCCCAACAGCTATATGGCGATGGCCAGCGAGGTCCCAACAACTATAAAACGCGACGGACGGCGAGGTCCCAACAGCTATACGCGATGGCCAGCGAGGTCCCAACAGCTATACTCGATGGCCAGCGAGGTCCCAACATCTATATGCGATGGCCGGCGAGATCCCAACAGCTAAACGCGATAGCCAGGGTGGTCCCAACAGCCATACGCGATGGCCGGCGAGATCCCAACAGCTATATGCGATGGCCGGCGAGGTCCCAACAGCTATACTCGATGGCAAGCGAGGTCCCAACCTATATGCGATGGCCGGCGAGGTCCCAACAGCTATACGCGATGGCCGGCGAGGTCCCAACAGCTATACGCGATGGCCGGCGAGGGTCCCAACAGCTATACTCGATAGCCAGAGGTCCCAACAGCTATACGCGATGGCCAGCGAGATCCCAACACAGCTATATTCGATGACCGGCGAGGCCCCAACAGTTATATGCGATGGCCGACGAGGTCCCAAAGGCTATACGCGATGGCTGGCGAGATCCCAAAAGCTAAACGCGAAAGCCGGCGAGGTCCCGACAGCTATACGCGATGGCCGGCAAGGTCCCAAAAGCCAAGTGCTCTGAGGTCATACAAGTGTCATTTCATTACAAAGCCTATGGTAAGCCAAAGCCACTACAAAGCCTAAGCCATATGGTGCGCTCAAGACAGCCAGCTGCCAGCAATTGTATTTACTCCTAGGAGGGACCCAAATGGTGTCTTCATGAATATTCAAATGATCTGCTGATGGCCTAAAACAAGGTTTCTGAAGAGGTCAGTGAGTCGGGGAAAGTTCAATGGCTCGCAAACTCACACCGCGAATCCCCCGAATCAGAAGCATGCCGTATAATATTGTCAAATGGTGCCGCCAATTGAGACTGTCACATATAACGACCTTCCTTTATTATTGTTGTTATACGAGATAGCAGAGCGATTTGTCCTGCGTGCGATGTTGTGACCCGGTCTCTACGTGACAAGTATATAATCATGGTCAGTTGCCAGAAACTGGCCCTTGCATAGCCTATTCTGACCCATGCAAGATAGCACTCATTTCTCTCTAGAGAGGGATCGTTCTTTAAAACCACTTTTTAATTCAATTTGCCTTGTTTTAAGCACGACACTAAAGAAATCCTACCCTTGCAAGGGAATTCAGGAGCCCGGTATTGTTTTTGCGCATCTTTGACGGTGACCTGCGGCCGGGTTGCGTGCCTAGAAAGAAGAACGGAACAAACAAAAGGCCCCGCCAGTGTGTCACCACCACCCACAGAAAGCACTCGTGTTCACAATGCAACGGACATGAGTACCGAGCAGTATGAAGTCCTCATAAATGCCTCGCAACTTACAAACCAAACAACAGAACTGACCTTGTAGACGTCAAAGCTCTCTATGATCGAGTCGAAGCAAGTGTACAGATCGTTGAGGAGATCCACCACCTGAAAGAGAGACAACACCACTTCGGGTGACCCGCCACGGCCCACGTCACGTCTCCGCCGTTTGGGCTGGAGCCAGCTCTGGCGTCGGTCAGGCGGGCGAGCACGGCGCGCCGGCCGTCGGGGCCGACCGCGAGAGCCGCGCCGCTCGCCGGCATTCGGAGCGGGCGGCGCCGGACACGCGGACCGCTGCCGAGGCGCTCTCCCGGCCCGTGCAGGCACGACAGGGTCTCACGCGACCAGACTATTGCATAGATATTGCAGACGAAGGCACACGCTGTGGAAAGGAGGCCATCGACTGAGCTGTGAGGGCGGCCGATGCGGTGACGCCGTATCAAAACGCCCGTAAGCCTGCGGAGCGCTGCCTCTGACCCCTCCCGCTGAATATCCGCGAATCAGGTCCCTGTTCAGCGGCCGCTGAGATGTTGCAGTTTAATGGCATAACGACAGGAAAATCTTATACATCACTGCATTACCAAGCACTTCTGTTAGTCCTAAATGTTCACGGCGCTTGTGAGACTCAGCGGCCCGTTAAGTGTAAATATGAAAAACAGGTGCTCTTTGAGGGCGCCTTGTTAACGCGTACCCTATCTCAGCCATTAAATAAAGCTAAAGAGCCACTCGCCTCTTTTCTGAAAGCATTCGTATAATTCTCAGTGGGGTTACACACAAAAGCAGTCAAGTTATCTTTTCGCTTGCTGACGCCGCGACGGCCGTGCATGTCAATTTATTTTCTTCTCTGCGCTGACCGTAATCACAACCAACTTGAACAACCACCACTCATAACTACCAAACACTACCACCGACATAAGCAGCCCACTGCTCCTTCGGTGCCAAGCGCAGAACCCTGGACGTCAGCAGGCTGCAGGTCCTCGGTGTTACCTGCATGGGCGTGGACTCGGCTGAGATGGCGGTGAAGCCGACGATGTCGCTGAAGTAGATGGTCACGCTGTCGTAGTGCTCAGCCACCACTGACTTGCCGGCAATCAGCTGACTGGCCACCGACCTGTAACCAAAGACCTCCTCTGAAGGGGGTGGTGTAAGGAGTCAGCTGATGCACGGCCGCCCGGTTTGGCCTGCGCTGTGCGCGTGTCGCAAATACGCCAGGTTCAGTTTTAAGTGTGATCTGTGAACAAGAATTTCGGTCAGGCGCGCGTATCAAAGGGTGTGTTCGACATTTATGTGGGGTTTTGAATTGAAATAGCAGTCTTGAAGAGCTTTCGGTGTTGTTTATAATCCTGCCATTTTTAGAGACCTCTTTTCTTGTTTCTGAGCTACATGCCCGCGAAAATAGCGACAGGTATATCGGTTAGAGTATTTCAAAGTTAACCTGCCATTCATGACATCAAAATAACGTCGTTCAAATCCTGCCATTCCATAAACCATGCAGCGATGAAGGC